AATTATTAAAGATTTATTAGAAGAGCTTGCTATATAGAGACTAGCTTAGAATTTCAAGTTTTATTGATTTTATAATTAATATCGGTTATTAAAAATAACACACATAATTTTTAAATTTAATATCTTATTTTAATATTACAGAAGTAAAAAAAATAAAGAAATAAAAAATAAAGAATTGTTACTTTCTAAATAATGTAACGATAAATAAGATAACGATAACTTGATACTTTTATCAATATTTTAACTCTACTGGTGACCATCTCAACATTCCAAAACTTTGTATTCACAATAGAAATCTAGTCTCAATTTTAGATTTCTAGAAACTTCGCTTATGCTTCTATCACTCTTTCTTTTACACTACTATTTTTATTTTCTAGGGTATCGGCGTCAATACCGGCGATTCGTTCGAGATCGTCCGTACGTGTATTTCAAAAAGCGGTTTTCTCGCCTAAGTGTATCCAGAGTGCGTAATTATCATTAGGTATATTGCACATTTTTATAGGATATAATATCACGATATATATTACGGTATACATTGATATGTGCGTGACAGTTTTATCAAGTAGACTTCGTACAATCGTAGTATTACTCATATGGATTCTTCATAGAATTCATTACATGGACTAATTTATCGAAATACAATTTTTGAATGATAATTATCAGTAATCGCAATTATTTCCATCAACGGCTATATTTTGATACTCATTGTGCTGATTAGATATGATAAAATGACAGTTTTACTAAGTAAATGTCCCCATGACCGTAGCGTCACTTAGGCTCGGCTTTTAATTTTCTGGTTAATTTGTGGTTAGACTTCCTGATGATAATATAAAAACTGTAGTTTTCTTAATTACTAAATGATGATTTGTAGCAAGTATAACTTGTAAAGTTATCACAAAATAATTTACTGCTTAATCATGACTTGAAAAATATAGTTTTTATATTATCATCCAATTATTAAGTGAAGTTAATAGTAAAGTCTAAAGCAGATAATGAAAAACTGAGTCTAAGGTTACTTGGACGCTTCGCGCCCATATAATTTAAATTTTTTAAATTATTTTTTATTATTCTTTTACTGAACGTTTGATTTGAAGAAGTTTTGTCACGCACTAGCGCTCTCTCAGAGTGTAGCTCAAGAAGTGCTTATCCGAAATGCACAAAATGAATGGTAACAAGATTAATAGTAACATTACCTATAAAGTATTAGGACAACTATAAATTATAAAATTAATCAAGTTGTAAAATGTTCTTGCATGCTATAGCACGTTTCAGGTCCATTTACAGATTAATTTTAATCTCAATCTAACTTTACTCTTTACTCTTTTATCTTTTTTTCTAATTCTTAAAAGTTAAACCGAAATTATATAGTTACTATGATAGAATTATTCGTATAATTAATATTCTTATTACGTTTTCAAGTGTATTTTTCTTTGTTTTGCAGATACCGGCCGTGAGTTCACAGTTCGGTTCGTGTGATCATCGTTTTCGCGATTACTTTGTTTTACAAGTGTTTTGCTTTATCAGTTTAATATGTTTAATTTTTGTCTTATGTAGAATAGATTTATTTACTTCAACCTTATAAATGTCGTATCTTTCAAAATTTATATAAAAATTACGTAGATATAGCTGGGGGGGATCGACCGTCGGTACAGAGCAAGATTATATAAACGCTCGCGTCGAGCTTGTCCGCGGTAGCGCGAGATGGCGCCATTATGTCCGCCGCGTCGCGATACGGCAGCGATACGCTGTACGATTCCGCCGTGATGCTTTGGTAAAATGGCCGCGACCGTTTCTGCGAATTCGAGTGTAGTGTTGTGAGTGTGCGTGCATTTCCACGAGTGGACCATCGCCTGGCAAGGACCTCGTCGACGCGAGAGGCTATCCAAAGGTGTGAGCAACGTTTCTGCGCCGCTGGTGAGTCATGACATTTCATATGAGACGAGATCGAGCGTCGTGACGGTTGCGGTACCGCGGCGAGCTTTATCGACTGTCACCGCGACCCTCCGCGGTTCCCGTCGTCGTCACAGTTTCGACGATTATCTCGCCGTGTCGCGAATCGCCCCCGCTTAACCCGTTCGTAATTCTCACGCGTGGGTTATCGCTTCCGTCCGTGCGAACATCACGTACGTGCATTTCCCGTCCCACGTACGCGCCAGTCTGCGCAAACGCGCCGGCCGAGGTTCGATGTCCGCTCCGCTCCGCTCTGCTTGACGTCACTCGCTGACAGCGGCTGTCACCTGTTCCCGATGACGTCACTGACACGATGACGCCAACAGTCCTGCAGCACCCCGGGCGGTTTCCCGATCCTGGCCTTATTAATACCCACCTACTTATGTCACGGACTTCGCGCCGGTTTTGTCGTACCTGTCAATATTGTCGGTGCACTACTTTGTTCGGAAACTGCCGGGAATAGTGTCAAATTTCTTTAGTACAGTAATTTAGAATTTTTATTAATTATTTCTTTTTATCAAATTGATGCTATATCGAATATAACAGTTTTTTCTTCTTAAAGAAAGATGGAAAGTAACGAAGAGTTAAAGAAAAGTTGTAGGGTAGCGATATATTTTTTTAATAATTTACATTTTTTAATTGTCTGATTGCCAAGTTGATGCTATCAAATGTAGCGGTTTTTTGCTTTAAAAAAATTTGAAAAATATCAAAGCTTTAAAAAAAGTAGTAGAATAGTGACACATTTTTTAAACATTTTATCATATTTTTTAATTTCTCAATGCCAAATTTTGACGCTGTCGAATGCGTTATAGTAGATTTTTTATTTTTAAAAAAAGATATGTGAAATATGAAATAGTTTTATAAGAAAAGAGAAAGTATAATTGTTATGATAAATTTAGGATAGAGTAAGAAGGGTAAATTAGTTTTCTCGTATACATCACTGTTAAATTCATAACGTCGAATTATATCTATAATTTGAATTATTTTTAATTATTTCTATAGGTTGTCATTAATCCTAAAACAACGTAATTAATTAAACAATGGAGTTAAATTATGTAACTTAAAAAAATGTAGATATCAAATTTTATTCAAATTTAGTTTATTATTTATTAAATGCATACGTTAATATGGACGGATGTTTACTTTAAACTAATCACAGAAATGGATTGATTTACATTTTGATACAGAGGTTAAAAATGTTATTTAACTCAAGGGATTGGGTTACTATTGGTATCTAATGTATATCTGATGTGTATTATTCGTGAAAAAAGTGAAAAGGGAACTTTATAGATTTGAATTCCATAAACAAAACATTATATAGGCTTTTAGTCTAATATAGCAGATTTTTCAC